ATATATATGTATACAGTGTGTATATATAATGTGCATGTTGAAACAGTTTATGTCGTCATTAACCCCATGTTTAATTGGATTAATGGGCATTTTTGTATATTTAAACTGGCAACAGATGAGATTACAGCCTTGGTCAGTCATGCTGYGGGTCAGGTGTTAAACCCACTGATAACTGATGATCAGGTGAACAGATTCATTCAGCTATCTCTCAAGACCACCAGTCATGCTATGTGGAGGCCTATTATTAGCTATTATGCTGTTTTAAATTATTTTTTGGAAGGAGTTGTTTTCTAATCCTGGTAATGATATAAAATGACCCTCTTAAAGTTAGCTGTTAGCCTAGCCTGGAAGAAGACTCCTGCTTTTCCCTCACTGCTCTGTTCCATGACATGTCACAGCTGATCAAATACTAAAAAAATCACCAGACTATCATGTTAAAGTTGCTTTTTGTTTGCATAAGCTGTTGGAGGGCAGCAGCTTCAGAGCTTCTGCTGTTTGTAAACTGGTTTTGATCCAAAATGGTGAGGCTGCTGGTTGAAGTCGACCCAACCAGTGATTCGTTAATCACATTCATTGATTATGTTCAGTGTGTCTGAACTGTTTGTCAGAAGCCGCCTCTTTAGCTGCTTGATCAGGATTTAGTCAGAACTGCTAAAAGGTTGAGTCCCACACAAAAAAAGATTAAAATGTCACAAAGTGCCATCGGACCAGCAGGGTGATTATCGATGCAACTGTACAATCAGGACTCGGAGCTCTTTCATGTTCTGAACATCGAAGCCTTCGCCGGGCGCCACTCCTTATCGTGTTCTTGCGGCCGGCTCTGCAGATGTGAACGTGGTGATTGATGGTGGAATTCACCATCTGCAGAAATAGATCTTCAGCTTGTCCACAGGTCCCAGGCAGGAAGGAAGCAATGAGTTTTGCTGTGTTATCTGTGGTTTGTTTATATGTTTGTCCCAGCGGTCAGCTCGCTCATCATCCTCAAAACAACCAGACTCTAAATTATTTTCTGTCCTCTTGAAACCTGTAAAAGCTACTTGCCATTCCAACAACATTGTTGTTAATGTATATCCTCAAATAACTGTATTTTTAAATACCTTTTGTTGATAAGACAGGACTGACACGAGTCTCTCTGCGTATGAAACCAGAGAGGGGAAAAATGACTCCTAATAAAGATTTCATATGTAAATGTGTRTTTTTGTGTTTCCCTGGAGAATTACTGCACAGCAGCACACAGACGTTCAGCATTTTCTGTTTATTCACACACGTTTACAAGATGAATTCAAGCTGAAGTTACAGGAAGTCATTTTTTTTAAAGGTGCTGTGCAGATTTGTTGCACATATCCAGTGATGTTTAATTTCTTTGAGACACACAGCAGGTAAAGAGAACCTCCAGTCTGGGTTCAACCTGCACTGAACAGAAGCTACGTGACAAAACAGACACATGTTACATACGGCACATCACCTGCAACGGTTGTGAGTCATGAGGAACACAAAGAGTGACACTGAACCCATGGCTGGTGTGTGTTCGTTTCAGGAATGTGACTTTAGTCTCATCAGATTCCCATCTGAGTGACGCAGTTATTAAAGTCACAGCATGCTCTCTGTCAGCAGCACCGCTGTCAAACACTCGCACAAAGAAAGCTCTAGTTCATAAATAGTTAAACTCACAGGTGGTTATGAAGATACTGCACATTTAGTCTATCATAAGGCTGGGGTTTCAAAAAACACTTTTTATATAGCTATCCTTTTCTGAGACAGTGACCACGCCCTAATGTTACCACCCTGGGTGCTTCAGATTAATGTGATCTGGTCCCTGCTCTTGGTCTGGGCCAGATGTGTGAAACGTCAGAGCTCAGCCTCGGTCAATACAAACTGTGGGTGTTAGTGTCCACGTTCCGCTGCGCCTCAGGCTCAGTGGGGCTGAAACGTCTTGGCCAGGTCATCCAGCAGTGAAACCAACTTCTGCTCCTCCAGAGGGGAGCTGTGGGTCCAGGCCAGCGGCAGATGGGTGGGCACCGCCCTCCGGTCTGCACACACACACACACACAAAAGTTTATTGTTACAGCTTTATAAGACCTGTATTGACTTACGTTCACTTTTAAACCCAAACTAAAGTTATCCACACCTGAACCCTACCCCCTAAAAACCGCGGTGGACAATTATTTTTCTCAATTCAATTCAATTCAAAAATACTTTATTGATCCCAGAGGGAAATTAGGTGKTGTTGTAACTCATTTAACTAAAAACTTATTGTAGATGCTCCAGGGGCCACATGAGAATCTTGAGCTATGTTGGAGGGCCAAAACGACAGTGCCTTGTATTTCTGCTTAGTCGTTTTTTTTCACCCATTGTTAAGAGCAGTAAATTATATATTTTGATTAGCTGCTACTGCTATAGGACAAGGATATGTTGCAAATATTTATATAAATATGAAATTGTGATGTAGGTGATAAAGGAAAATATTCCTCTGCAAACAGTAAAGACAAAAATAATCATAACGTGGTGATGGTTTTTTTCAGTGATTTTTGGTCAACTGTACCACAAAAACGGCTGCACCGATCAACATGAAATTTGGCAGGACTGTAGATGAGCCCGACCTGCATTAAGCCAGCCAATGGTTTTACGATAGATCCCATATTTGAGGAGGGGGCTCCTTTCAAAG